TTTGTTTGAGTCTACTCTCTGTTTTTCTTGGTTTGTCTAGCTAGTGGTTCATCAATTTTGTTTATGTTTTTAAAGAACAAATTTTCACTTTGTTAATCACTTACATGGTTTTTAAAAGTCTTTATTTAGTTCTGCTCTGATCTTTATTATTTCTTTTCTGCTAATTTTGGATGTGGTTTGTTACTTTTCTAGTTCATTAAGGTTCATTGTCATATTGTTAATTTGTAATGTTCCTACTCTTTTTAGGTAGACATTTACTGCTGTAAACCTCCCCTTTAGCCCTGTTTAACTGTATCCCACAGGTTTTGATATGTTGTGTTTCCATTTTCATTTGTTTCAACAAACATTTTATTTCCATCTGAATTTCTCTGTTGACTCAATGTTTATTCAGGAGTGTGTTGTTAGTTTCCATGCATTTGCCTAGTTGCCAATGTTTCTCTTGGTGTACATTTCTAGTTTTATTCCATTGTGGCCAGAGAAGATATTTGATATGATTTTAATTTTTGAAAATTTGTTGAGACTTGTTTTGTGGCTTAACATAGGTGCTCTCCCGGAAAATGTTCCATGTGTTCATGAGAAGAATGTACATTCTGTAGTGTTAGATAGAATGCTCTGTAAATATCTGTAATCTTTATTTGGTCTAAAGTTCAGTTTAAATACAATGTTTCTTTCTTGATTTTCTGTGTAGATGATATGTCTAACGTTGAGGTTTAGATGTTGAAGTCCCCACTATTCTTGTATTGGAATCTATCTCTCTTGTTAGATGTACTAATGTTACAGGCTGCTCTTTGCTAGAAAAGAAAATGATTTGGGGGCTGCATTTCATTAAAAGAAAAACCTTACTGAGGACTTCTGTACCCTCACCATCTGCCTAAATCATTTCTTCTCAACTCCTATATCGCTACCAGAATCTGAGCCAAAATGAGGTGACTCAGAGAGGCTGGAACTGTGCAGAATGCATTTTAGTAGAAACAGCTGAATGGCAGTGGTGATGTCTAGTTTCTAGGTGCGGCAGTGACATCTGTCCTTGCCTCAGGGTCCAGTGTCTAGCACCAGGATGTCAGAGGTGTGAGCAGTGGTGTCTGTGCTCAGCAGAAGGGGCAGTTGTTCCTAGGAGGGACCTGATCCTGGGTGGGCTGTGGATTCTGTTCCTGGTTGTGTAATTTCCAGCCTTGTTCTGTGGCCTTCCCCACAATAAAATTAGCCCCCAATACCAGATATACTACTTTATGTATAAATTACAGAAATCTGTATTCCATAGTTTGCTATGAGAAGGGAGTAAGAAATCAGTGTGTGGCCCAGTGTCAGAGAGCAGCATTCAGAGGTGTTCTCTGTGCGAGAGCCACATCCTGAATTGTCTACCTGGCCTCTACGCCATGGTGGAGAGATCAACAGGAAATGTCACATCTCATAATTGATTATATACATCCTGCCTTTTATTTCTGAGAGAAAAATCTTCTTTTAAACCAGGTTTGAAAATCCACCCTATCCACCCACCCTGGGCACTCTAATCTCTGATTTCAGTGGTTTCCAATCTGGATTCCAACAGGGAGGGCAAGGACTTAGAAAATACTCAGGCCACTTCTCAGAACGCTGTCTCAGAGTATTATGCACAAGACCAAGACATCACTTATATAACAAGCACTACGGGTGAAGCTGATGCACAGACATGTGGGATCCTGGTGTGCTTGATCTGGAGACCAGAAACATAGGCTCCAGTCTTGTCATAAATCCAGAATCTCTTGCTCAACCCTGGAGTTCTTAGATCTCAGCACCATGTCCAGGTGATCCCTGTGCATATGGGAGGTCCTTGTCTAAGTGTCCTCTAGGCGTGGGGTCAGAACGGTGCAGTCTGCTCTCGGTATGGTCTGATCAGATCCCTTAGAACTGGAGGTCCAGGGTTCAGTCTTTGCACTCATTCTCTTCTATAGCCAGTCACTTCCTTGGTGCCTTCATCCATGCTTGAGGTTTTAAGTATTGTTTATATGGTGTGACCTCCTAAATCTATTTATCCAGCCCAGTCTATTTTTCATTTCCCATAAACTCTGGAGTCGTCTGTCCAACTGCCACCCCAGCTCCCTCACCTGCATTCCTAGTAGACATCTCCTCCACTGAGTGCCTGGGATGCCCCCTCCTCACTATGCTCCTGCCAGAGTCCCCCATCTCCACTGACAGCAGCTCCACCCTTCCTTCTACTCACTCATTTCACAACTATGGGCGTCCTTAATCCATCTTTCTCATACCACAGATACAATCCATTGGCAAATGCTGTGTGTCCATCTTAAAATGCATCCAGAATCCCCTCACATCCCACTATTCCCCCGGCTCACACCCCAGTCAAGGTAACGACATCTCCAGCCTGGAATACTGAACTCACTTCCCACTGTTTTCCCTTCTGCCTCCCATGTCCCTCACCTCTCAATTCTGTTCTCAGCACAGCAGAGATCCTTTTAAAAGAGAAGTTGTACCATGTCTCTCTTCTGCTCAAAACCGTCCGCTAGCTCCCCATCTTACTCAGAGCAAAGGTCAG